CCCTAACAACCCTCTTAAAATCACCCTCCAAGCTTGCCATCCTATTCCACCCAAAGATGACCAGCCATGCCTGGAATCAGACACTTCAAGCTAAGACTTTTTGTCCTTGATCTGTTGTTATCTCTTAATCTGTTCTCCCTCTTTCATAGTGGCTTACCATATACTCTTCACCTTCTCTTTGATCTCTTTTACATCAAGGAAGGTTTTAGTTGCCCAAAATTGGACCCATGGCTCAGCTTCAGTTCAATTTAAGGTAAACCTTCCTGACCTATTAAACTTAGAAAAAGAATGTCTAGCTGGACAGTTGTCCAGAATAATCAACTTAGCACCTGCACAAAATGCTTACCATACTGAATCTTGTACAGACTGGACAACCCCTTATTATATAAGGAACAAAGGTTTTTTACCTTTGCCCCAGTAACTCTATTGACTAGCAATATAATCAGGCTGGCCACTTCTACTGTCCATACTGGAAATGTGTCACTATTGCAACTTGCAGTGAGGGACCAGATGACACATCTCAAATCACCATTTGGGCAGCAGCTGGCCCAGAACAACCTACATATATAAAGGTTACTGATCTTATCCTCTCCGTTATTCTTGGAATATGGGTAATACCTGGGGAATACAACTCTACATGAATGGCTTTGACTGTGGTGCCTTATTCACTATCCAGTGGTGCACACTCACCTACAAAACTGTGGCCAAGCCAATAGGATCATTGGTCGAGCTAAAAGATCCTATGTTTGGGTACCAACAGCCTCCATTTCAGCCTCTGCCTTCTGCCAACCTAACTGGTACCCTGGGCTCACCTCTGCAATTCCTGAGGTCACCTCGACCATTTTCAAACCTAGCCTGTCTCTCCCTTCCAGTCTTTTTCCCATGTTAACTCACATGCATCATGTGCTTAATGATACCTGGCCACAATTAGCTGCAGATTGTTGGCTCTGCTTAAAATCAAGGCCTCCTTATTATGTAGGCCTAGAGGTCAATACTCCTGTTGTCAGTAACACTGACAAAACTACATGTTCTTCTCCAAAAAGAGTTCATGTTACTGTAGAAGATGTAACTGGAACTGACTCTTGCCTTAAAACCCCAGATTTCAACTTAATGGCTTCTCCATTTATTAATATTTGCAATATGTCTCTTATTGTAACTGTAAATGAATCCATGGCTTATGCAGCCCCTGCCATTACTTGGTTTGCTTGTCCTACCGGTCTTACAACTTGTGATACTACAGAAATGTTAAGCAATAAGTCTATTTTATGTATTACTGTCTATTCACTTCCCCAGATATATGCTTATAGTGGTCCTGAAGGAAACCTCTTATTTAATTCTCCTGGTTTTCCGGCAACTCGTCGGAAATGTGCTGCCCCTTTACTAGTACCGCCCTTGATCAGGTTAAGTATAGCTGGAACAGCTGCACTCAGCACCACTGCTTTAGTCTGCAGAGAATTGGGACTAACTTTGCACAAGACATTAATCCTGACTTAAATTACATGTACTCTGTTATAGACCAATTCCGTGACCAGGTGGACTCTCTAGCAGAGGTTGTCCTCCAAAATCATAGATGCCTGGATTTGTTCTTCCTATCTCAAGGAGGGCTTTGTGTCGCTCTTGGAGAAACTTGCTGTTTTTATGCAAACAAATTGGGAATCATTAAAGATACCCTGGGGAAAGTCCAAGAAAACATAGACAGACGTCAAAAAGACTTGAACAGTAACAACTCCTGGTTCCAATCTATGTTTGATTGGAACCCTTGGCTAACAACTCATCACCAGTCTAGCTGGCCCCATAATCCTCCTCCTCCTAGGTTTGCTTATAGGGCATTATATAATCAATTGGTTTATTCAATTTGTTAAGCAACAAATTACTTCTGTAAAACTCATGTATGTTGGAACTTATGACCCTTTGCCCATAATTCACAAGTCAACAGTTTGACTCATGAACAAGTAAAAGGGGGGAATGAAGTACTTGTAAAACTTATGTTAGTTATAAGTAATCCCATATTGTAACAGATTCTCCATATTAGCTGTTTTAGCTGCTTTAACCCAGAAATGACCCCCTACATAGCTTTCCCATAATCAGAGGTTGTAATCTTTCCATAACTTTATTCAAAGCTGGTGACGAAGAGGGAGCTTATGCCTCCAAAAACTCTTGGCCCCAAATGAAGCAAGGAGAGGGTTTATAAAGGTAAAAACTACTGAATAGACTACATGACATGGGGTACAAACATAAGGTACATAAGCCTATACCCTTGGTTTCCCTGAATAATGGACACTCCCTAACCACAAGTTCTGCATTTATTTGTATATGTCTGCACATTTTGCTTTCTAATTTTAATGATTTTTATGTTTGTGCTTTATGCCATGTAACCTAATGTACCTTATGTTTGTACCCCATGTCATGTAGTCTATTCAGTAGTTTTTACCTTTAAAAACCCTCTCCTTGCTTCATTTGGGGCCAAGAGTTTTTGGAGGCATAAGCTCCCTCTTCGTCACCAGCTTTTAATAAAAGACTCATAATTTGACCCTCTGCATGTTGACGACATCTTCCTTGCATTCTGGACACAACAATAGCACCAAAAAATGGGGAGAATGAAACATTTTAAAAGACGTGGACTCTCTCTTCCAAAACTGACTTTATAATTATAGACAAAATACATGAAGATGAAGGTGCCTTATAAATAAAGTACAAAATGAGTAAGGGAAGGAGAATAAAATGCTGACTGGAGAAGGGAGACTCAGTAAGAGCCAGGGTTGAGTTCCTGGAGATGGGAGATGCCAATTTAAACTTTGAAAGCCAGACTCAAGTCACTCCTGAGCAAGAGCAGTAGAGCAAAAGAGATGAACTTTTCTGTGCAACAACAACATTTTTTTTTTAAAGTTAGAAATGTCTTATTACGATAGGGGGAAAATGGTTATCATGTCTTATAGAAGTCTCTTTGTGTTATCTTTGGGCCACTTTGTTTGAAAATGACTTGTCTTCAACTTTTTCAGGAAGTTTCACTAGTTTTTAAAGATATTTTTCTAATTCAATTCTCTAGCTTTCAACTCCCGTAGGGGTGAGGGCAGTGTTTGGAAATGAGAAAGATAAAAATGCATTCCTCTTAGGAGATCATATAAAAGTGAGAGAATTGGAGTGGAGGTGGGAAGCTATTATGTGCCTTGGTGATCTGTTCTGCGTGTAAGTCTAAAAGCTGATGAGGGGCAGTGTGATTTCAGCAGAACTAAAGGGGAGATACTTTCACTGCCCTCATTGCAAGGAGTTCATTGGCTCCTAAAACATCACTGTTCCTATGATTCCAAAGGTCATAAATAAGGGATATCTAAAGTCTTGTCTAAGCCAGATCCTTGTAGCCCTGTCTATAATAGCAAAATTCTGGAAACAACTTAAGTGTTTTTTTCACAAGAACATTAGATAAAGTAGGGTATGGTAGAATCATATCTTTTGGTAGCATTTAAAAATTTAAATTTAAAGATATTGATAAGTAATTACACTAGAATGTTCCATACCTTGTAGTTATTTTGCTAGCATCTAGGATCTTAGAAACTCAAATGCTAATATTAATTTCTGTTATTTCCCTTCTTTTCAATTTTAGCTACCTATTCCCATGGACAGAGGTCACCTCTAGTTTAATCTGAAGGATGGATTGAGGTGGTTAAAAGAACAAAAGAATGAAGAATGTTATTTCCCCTGACTCTTTCCCTTATTTCTCCCCCTGCCCATATGTCTCTTTCCCTACACATACATTCTATTAATACATATGGGTTATTTTTTTAGGCATAAGATGTACCTTCATTATACATATATTCTTTTCTTTTTGAAAGCAGGATTTAATGAGAGGACAGAAAAGCTCTACAGTGGGAGGAGACCTGAGGGGGTTGCCATATACATATGTTCTCAGAGTGAAATACTATGTAGTCTATTGTAAAAGGATGATATATGTATAGTCAACTTCATCCCCTCAAAAAACAAGACATAAAACAGTGTGATATATCTATATCTATCTATGTTATGAACTTAATGTTTATGTTCCACAAAATTCATATGTTGCAACCCTAATCCACAATGGCATAATTGTGTTTATAGATAGGGGATTTTGGAAGTGATTAAGTTTATGTGAGGGTCCCCATGAAGAGATTAGTGTCTTATAAAAAGAAGAGGAGAGACCAGAGGTCTGCCTCTCTCCAACATATGTGGACACAGCCAGTGGGCAGCCATCTGCAAGTCAGGAAGAGGGCCTTTAGCAGGAATCAAATCTTCCAGCACCTTGATCTTAAACTTCCCAGATGTCCAGATCTGTGAGGAATAAGTGTCTGTTGCTTAAGCCTCCCAGTCTATGGTATTTTGTTACAGCAGCCCAAGTAAACTAAGACTACACACACAAACACACACACACACACACACACACACACACACACACACACTCACTCTCTCTCTCTCTCTCTCTCTCTCTCTCTCTCTCTCTCTCTCTCTCTCTCTCTCGGTAATTCATAGAACATTTTTAGAAAGATAATTAAGAAACTAGGAATACTGGTTGTGTCCCACGTGACAGAGAGATGGTCTACAAGGTCTGAAATAAGAAATGGGAGAAAGACCTACCTTTAGACTAAATAAAATTGATTTATTTGTACTAAAAACCTTCATTTTATTATGCAATATATGTGTAAATATTGCTTTTAATTAAAAAATCAATATTAGATTTTTTTCAAAAGTCTGTATCACAGGTTCTACAAAAACATAAAAATCAACACTTAAAAAGCCCTGACAGTTCACTAATCTTAATGATCCATTTTGGGGTTTTAAAAAATTTTGTAACACAAATTTTAACATTCTCTTAGGTTGCTTCCTACTCCAATGTCACATCCTGCCTGGTGGGGAGGTGGGTATGTCCCAATAAGAATAGATCTTATGTGAGAGTACTGGGTAAGAACATGATTCTAATACTCATTTACTAGACCATATCTTAATGTGATACAAGATAAAATGAGACTTACCAGTAGAACCTGTTTGGTACAACTCCTTCCTGGATAAGCTGCCACCTTCTACCAAATTCAGAAGAGCTGTATAACTGTAAAGAAGAGAAATTACTCAGCCCCATGGTTGTATGGTACATCAAATATACAAACATCAGTTAATTTGATCAAAGGTAACAATAATAATAGTACTTATCGTTTATTGAGTACCTGCCAAATGTCAAGTGAGTGTTCCACACATACCATTTCTATTCCTAATATAAATTCTGCAAGGCAGATATTAATATCTTTAGTTCACAGTTGAGGAAACCAAAGCTTGGAAGGATGAAATGACTTGTTAGAAATTACATGTCAAGTAAGTATTAATTATAGAATGAACTTGAGTTCATACCCCATTCTGCCTGGTGACAAAGTCAGTTGTGCCACTTGACCTAGCACATGTTGAGCATTGTTGAGAATGCAAAGAAGTGCAAAATCTAGACCTGGTTCTAGAACAGCACACAATATAACTAGAAGTTGACTTCAATAATGTGAAATGCATGAGGTAGCCAGCGATAAAGTAATACAGAAGATCCAGGATCAATCAGGAATGCTTTCCAGATGTTGTAGAGAATGAGTCAATCAGGGATGCTCCCTAGATCATGTGGAGAATCCGTTGGGACCTTAATACATGACAGCCTTCAAATAGACAAAAATAGTACTACTCATGAAGGAAGCAGCATGAGCCAAAATGGTGAGACAGACAGGGACACGATATGGATAAATCTGGCTTATCTAAATAAGTCTAACAGATATGTAGACGGCAACATGGAAAAAGTACTAACTGGCAACTTAAGGAGACAATAATTGATTCTGCAGGCATTAAGTAACCATCATTGGTCTTTAGAACAGTAACCAGAGGAACCTAAGGCTATAAAACAGCACTCTAGGTTGACTAAGCTCTTATTATCGCCCAAGTACTTCATATGCATTACCTTACTTAATCCATACGCCTCTCTGTGATATACAAAACAATTATGGCCATTTTACAGATGGTTACACAGCTGATAAGATTTCAAATCCATTTGCTACCTTGCTTCAGTACTTTTCAAGGGTAACTGCATAGAATCATAACTCATGAGTTAGGGACTGATCCTCCTCCACATACTCCATCCCCAAAATGTCTTCTTTTATAAACTGTTTTTGTCATCCTTGCAGCCAACAGATAATCTTTATGTCACCATAGGACCCTCTTCTGCCTCCAAAAGTGTCCTTTGATGGCATCCCAGAAAATTATGTTGCTGTAGGTATTCTTGTTCTCATGGTCATTTATGTATTGATTTGAAAAAAAAGAATATCATTTGTAACATCTTTCTTTTTCTGCTATGTACCTGGTTTGTAACCTATTTAAACCTCAGTCTTCCACCATCACATTTGCTGACTCCCATGGTGAATGGACGGTGAGTCACACTGTACTTGGTACCAGGATTGCCCAGCTTTTTATTTCTTCCCAGCCCCAACACTCAGTGAAAGGTTAAATCTCCCCAAGTGACTCACCAAGGCTGCAGACGCACCAGGCATGACCAAGGAACAACTCAGCTCAAGTGAGTATTTACTGATCCTTGAAAGAACGTGCTACAACATCGTGTCCATTGGATCAAAACACATCCAGAATAAAAAAGGCTGAAATAAAAGGCTACTAAAGCAAGAAGCTCCATTGGTTCCAATTACACAGTATTTTGGCATACAGCCAAAGAGGATCTGTGACTTTTTCTTTCTTTCAAAGTCTTTTTATTTTTTCTTTATCCATCATGCCTGCAGGAGAAAGATTTCTTGGAAACATTGCATAGTTGATATACTGTATGAATGGCAAGGAGAGATAGGGAGATAGCGTCTCTCATAGAGTTAACAGGGAATGTGACAAGTCACATTTTCTTCAGCCAGTATATGCATGTCTTGTTTCTTGTTCCCCAGCATGTCCTGGACACCTTGCGTCTTAACATGAAGGCCTATACAACAACAGCAAGCACTCTGACAGTGAGTCTCCTCATTCTCTTTTTTCTTTTAAACCCAGAGTTCTACTTCCTTCTATGAGTTTAACGGGAATAGAGCTCATACCATGGTGGCATGCCTATGCCTATATAAAAATATGTATTAATATCTATATTTATATATAAAGATCAACGCAAATGGAAAAGAATTGAGACAATTCTAAATAACAATAATTCTGCATATGAAGGCTGGACTCATATATATCCTGCAATAATAACATATAAGCTCTAAGTGCTCATATGGCTACACCAAGGGATTACTACTCCTGCTCCCACAGAGAACTCATCTCTGTGAGGAAATGTTGGGTACCTGCATCTGCCATTCTTTTTTTCTCTATCTTTTAAAATTTATCCCCTAGGCTTGGATTCAGAGTCTGTGGACAAGCCAGGCTTGTCCCATGACATTTGTTTATATCTTCAAAGGGTGACTCTATTATTTGTGAGCTTCTAGAGACTCCCTAAGCAGTGGTTATACCAAAAAAAAAAAAAAAAATCCAATAAACCAAGTCTCTCTTATCCAGCTCAGTGAGATCTTTTTCAATTTAATCTCTCAAAAGATACACTTTGGTCCTGGTGGGTTGGTCTTCTCACCTTCCCACATACTCAGCAACATTCCCCTGCTGTGCCATCAGGGATGCTTCAAGATTTGTCTTCCTCAATATCAGTCTTGTTTTTAGAGCCAGATCAAAGGCCACCTTCTCTATAAATCCTCCTCTACCAAGATTGCCACTGATTTCATCTCCAAAGAACTATGGTATAATAGCAGATTCTATTAAACTACTGACCACCTATTTACATTTATCCTATTTAGTAGCTTTTCATGATAGCCTTCTGAGATAGTAATGCAGAAATTTTTTTCTATCTAAAATCTCTAAAATATTTGAGACCACTCTCTGCCTCTTTAATGGTATTGCAAATCTTTTAGACATAGAAATTCCATCCTTGTACATGTTTAAGTGCCTTGAACATCACAGATGATAAAGGAAAAAAGTATTGACTTTGGCACTACACAAATCCCCTAGTCACGCGTCTACCCAGTAAAGAACCCAAGTTTCCCAATTGATGGACCAAAAAAATGTATTAGAGGAATATGTTTTGCTTCCATGGATTCATAGCTAGAAGTCTATGCCTAAAAAAATAAACAAAAGAGAACACACACACACACACACACACACACACACACACACACACATACACACACACACACACACACACACACACACACCTATAAATATCAGTACATTTGAAACTCCCAAGGGTTGCAAGCAGGGTCTTGTGTATTCACCTAAGACAAAACTGCTCTTATACTCTGCCTGCTACTTCAAACATTTTCTCCCTAAGACATTAATTGTCCAATCTAGTGTTATACCAAGAAAAGGAGAAAACAATAACTCTCAGCCATTCTAGTTAATGTGTTAATTAAGCCTACAGAGTCTGACAGCAAAGTTCTCCTCCACAAGGAAGAAAATGGTATCAAAGCCTTTTATCCAAGGATTGTCTCAGCCGCTGGTAGAAGGCTTTCCCTGTGGAATAAGTCAATGTCCTTTAATAAAATTCACAGTGTCGGCAGCATCTAAATAAGATTTATTTCCCTCTCTGTCTGTCTCTGGCTCCAAGGTTTCTTCTTACTGTCAGAATACAGAACTGAGAACTATCATTACTATCTGTCACATCAGAGAAAGCAGTAGCAGCCTTCTCCAGCAATGCTGAGCCTAGAATGAGAGAGAAAGATTAGGGAGAGGACAAAGAGCATTTAAGCTAGTTTTAGGAAGGCAATGTTCATGCCCTCTGTGTCATGAACTTTAAAATGCCATTCTTAGAGGGCGTCTGATTTTTTTGTTGTTGTTGCTAACACTGATATAAAACACTGGAAAAGAATTGAAGAAGAAATTTCAGAACAATTACAGAGAAAGATTCTGGTTAAATAATAATGCAAAACAGAAAATCCTTCCAGTCTAAAATCATTCTAAAACATCTGAGAGTATTTCCTGCATTAGTAAATATAACGTAATGAGCACAAACCCAACACCTGTCCATGCTCAAGATCTGTTAGAAACCTTGAGGCTTCACCCACCATTATGTCATTATGCTGGACTGGGGCTATTACTTCTTTCTCCTTTCTAGCATGCTCCTTGAGTGAAGGTCTAAAAAAAAAAATCTTTCCCATTGGCTTGTTTCCTTGCCATCTGTCTTTGCTTCAGAAGCATGCAAATAGAAATACACTTAACTGCAAAGGATGCAATTTGCAAGGGTTACTTTCATTGTGAGCTTCTAAGCAACTGTTGGGTATCTCTGGTGCCATCCCCTGAGGTCCTTAGAGTTGCAAGTTGGATGATGGGCACTGGCTACGAGTAATAATAAAGAGGGATGCCACCAGGGGACATCTTGGGGGTGGGAAAGAGTGGGATGCATTGGCTGCTCGGGATTCCTAATCTACAGCAGATTAAGAGGAGGTGAGAGAAGTGGGGTCTGAGAGCACGGTTTCCAGCTTTTTTCTAGATTCTTAACATTCACATTTTGGTTGAATCCTTACTAGGAGAAGAAAGATTCGACTTGCTTGAGTTGATGCAAAAGTTTCCTAATTCACTGTCCCTGGAAGGTATTTTCAATATATCTAAATTGGGTCAATGTATATCTTCAGATTGTTAGACAGGTGTACATTATTCATTTTCTTTTGCAACTAGAAAATTAGTGGAAGAACATTAATTCCATAGAAATCAGTGCAAGGGCAGTTCCATAGAAGCTAGGAGTCTTTTTTTTTTTTTGAGTTGGAGTCTCACTCTGTCGCCCAGACTGGAGTGCAGTGGCCCCACCGCAGGCTCGACCTGCTGGGCTCTGGCGATCCTTCCGCCTCAGCCTTCCAAGTAGCTGGAACTACAGGCACGCGCTACCACACCTGGCTAATTTTTTGATTTATTGTAGAGATGAGGTCTCGCCAAGTTGCTCAGGTGGATCTCGAACCCGCGGGCTCAGGCAATCCACTCACCTGAGCCTCTCCCAAAGCACGGGATTACAGGCTGAGCCAGCAAGCCTGGCTAAAGCTAGGAGTCTTAAGTCTTTGGTTC